TGTAGAGAGTCACGGATGGCGCTGTGGGAGAAAGCGTCGGAGTAGTGGATTTGTTGTTGTTACTTGCAATCGGGTCACCAAAATTGTATCCAACCGGTACAATTTCCATAAAATTAACAACAACGAACCTGGTTAAGTTTTGTTGGGAAGAGCTTCCCAACCAAGTCAACGAACGTAGCTAGTGTATATTGGTTTTTTACGGGCTCATTGAATACTGTTGAGAATCTGTTGTTTAGATTACATTTATCAATTAAGCTAAGAACCAAAGAACGACATCCAATCTGTTGTTCTTTATCCTGCGTATGTTATAATGGGACTAAGCAACAGAAAAGAGGGTAGATTCAAATCCGTGTTTCAGTCTGCAGAACCAAGCCATGTCTTATTGTTCTGAGCTGAATCAGGATATGATATTCCGTTACTCTTTGAAGGTGAGTACTATTTTTCCTAGAAATATTGTTATGAAGTTGTTCTCAATAAAATGCCCAGGGCTAACACATGCTCACGTCTGAAATGGTGAGTAACATCACACGACTATACAAAATTGTATTAAATTACAAGAGGAGTTTCAGCAATGACATAACCAGCCTGACGAACAAAGTAATCCAAACGGAAAAGAGCCAACAAGTATTCGGTTAGGTCCACGAATGATCTGGGTTTGAGGAAGAAACAAAACCCCCAACTGACAAAATGAAAAGGAAAAATTAGTCTTTATCTGCTGCATCTTTCCAACGTTGATTCGTGGTCAAGCACATGGATAAGTCATTCAAACACATAAAAACAATAAAGGATTTTACACCAATGGCCCTTACAAAGGTGATATAAGAATAAATGTAGAGTTGTCAGTAACCCCTTTGAATATCCCACTTAGAAAAAAGGTGATGAACTTGATCATCTGTCTCGATTAGACCGCATACCTAAAATTTCATAAGCGTTTTCTTTGTGCATCCCCTTTACTTTGAAGTCTCCTTTTCGTGCTTACATATCAACGTATTCCACACATGATCAGTTGAATACTTCATATCATTAAGAACTTGTGGTGGTGACTTCCTCTCTTGTGTTGACCTTCTTAGTTTCTGAAACTTCCTTAAGTACCTCTGTATTTTTCACCACGTGCCCGGTTTTCTCAATAATGTTGATCGTCATTGTGGCAGAACCCCTCGGGTTTTACAGGTAGCTGTGTTACGTCCGCTTTGCGGCTGGTGATTTCGTACAACTGTCCAGATTGTTTGCGGGTTTGTCCTTGACCTGACCTGTGCAGCACTGGTATGCCCATCACACCGGCGATGGTTGTGTCCAAATCAGGCTATTTCGATTTCACGGTTTATCAATTCATTTTTATCTATCTATGTGTAAACATTACGAGGTGACTATATTCCTGGGATTTTCCATTCATGATGTTGCAGATTAAATGCTCTATTCGCTCGCGTTCGAGAGTAATCCAACAGCCATCAATAACATTCAGGTAAACTTGGTTTGGCTTGAGTTGTCATCAACTGAAAAAATAAGCCGATAGTACCAGTGAATCCACCCTCACACAGAAAAGCACTATCAATTGGCTGAACAAAAATAGTCAATATAAACAATGCATAATGACTGATTGATTGAGTAAATTATTTGATTCTGAGAATACAAGTCAACAGGTTGTGTATATACACTGGTTAGTTTACGTTTATTCAAAGTACAACGTCCTGTTTGAAAAATCTCCAGCCTCATCAAGAAAGCTTGGTTAATGAAAAAAATAAAAGTACGACGTAAAACGTTAAGTAAGTTAGCGTTTTGGTGAGCACATCTAGTGGTACAAATACTCATTTTATAACTTTTCATCCAGTCAGTGTCATTCTTTCAACCAACTGGATGAAGAAAGTGGTAGATACCTCACTCTGTGCATTTGTCAGATTAGGTCGCATTCTGTGGAGCATAGATTCGTTCCGTCAATAGTTTCAACAAAAAAATGTAGCATATTGTCGACCCTTCAAACGGGCACGTTAATATCGGCGCTGTCATTTCACAATGTAATGCACTTGTAGGAATTTATACGATCAGCGCGTCAACAAATGAGTTAATATGCACTGAGATCCCAACAGCAAAGGCTGATAGATCTAAACGAAACGCATACGGAATCCAGGTTTGATTGGGCATTACCAAGATGCAGACTGTAATGAGGCTCGCTTCTGCGGAGGGAAGAAGCACATTTCAAATCATTAGCAGATGACTGGGAACTTCAAAAGGGACTGTTAGATACATCGGGATGCCGAGTCAAGTTGAGTTAAGCGCAAGTCTCCGAAGCCGAATTCAACAAGTCTGAGTTATCTATTTAAAGCGGTACTATTAGCAAGCTTGTAAATAAATTAGAATCCATATACAGCTCCAATCGTAGTGTTCCCAAAGGGATTCACCGAATGTACAAATGTCCAACGCGATTGAGGATTGGAAGTAAGTGCTGATTAACCAAACAAGGGAGGTCACAATTCCGTAAAGATAGAAGAAAGAAGATGGAGGGACAGAGGCTCATGCGGTCTAATCAGTGATTTAATGGGTAACTCTCATTGGACCCATCGGAGTTCGACGGGGGTAATCCGGTTTGGGTGTGTAGTTGTGTGTTTGTGTGTGTGTGTGTGTGTGTGTGTGTGTGTGTGTGTGTGTGTGGACAGAGGTGTGTGTGCGTGCATGCGGAGAGGAAATCGAAAGGTCACAGCCAACTATGCGCTAGCGCGATGTGCCGACATGGAGGAGAGAAGGGAGGCAGGTAGACAAATAATTGAGAAAAGTGGTCAACAGGTTGGCGTACAGAACATACTCATGTGTAGTGAAAAAGTGACAGAGAACGACAGAGACTGGGNCTGGGAATTTTGGGGGAATAAGGAAACTAGATTCAAGAAGAAAACGGAATAGAGTTCGTTGCATAACAAACACGCCTCACTTTCAAAGGTTTTCCGGAGCATATATTTATTTACTGTAAAACGGATGAGCACAATACGAAACTTACTAACTTCGAAGGGGAACTCACCTGTTAAAGAATATTGTTGTATTCTGGCGGACTGTATTTTTCAAACCACGTCAACATTTGACGGCAATGCCACTCAGCAAACTTGTCTGTTTGTGATTCCAAATAAAAGATTACATAACTCTACTGAAATATAGAGCATGCTCGTCAGACATGGATCTAGTTCAATGGGTGCATATGAGTCTGTTTGAGGCACGAAAGAATGCAATGGGAGTTAATTTGATCAATCACATGTTCCTCAGTTTTCAGGAATACATTAGTTCAATTTGAATAGTTGCAGTGAAACGTCCTAAATAGGCACTGATTTAGTTTTCAATAAACATATAAATGTACGAAAGGTTGTATTGGATAACTCTACGGCAGCACCAGTCAGTCAGTTTAAATCACTTTTCTGAAATGCCTGGAGATTTTTCAAACCGCAGACGGAAACTTACAAGCGTTAGTATCGTTGGACATCGGCACTGAAACGACCGATCGTGGGAGGCGGCGGTCAAATTGTTACTTAATCAAAAAGTAACTCAGGGTTCCGGGTTCCAACCAATCCACCGCCATGCCGTCTTCCCCGTTTATGTATTTTCCCAGGCAGCCTTTGTATGGTCGCGCCCCCTCCCCCTTGAAAGTTGGCTGTACATTTGTATATTCAATAAAAAAATGGAAAAAAAAACAACCTAAGTTGTTTAAGTAACATACTGTAATTGAATGGTGTGTTAAATAAAGCGTTTTTTGTGTGAAAGTTTGATGCATGCTGGCATAAAAGCACTTTTACCCTAGGCATCAACAGCGCTGCCAACCATTACGTTTCTTTGACTTGTAAAACGGTCAGGCTCCTAATACTGACTTCGTATCAAAAAAAGTTATTCACATCGGAAAAAGAGAATGGGAATAAGTTTGACAAACACCAAAATTAGAAATACACAAACCACCAAATTTCTGTCACTGTTGAACTTGAAAAGAAAAACTGCCTTCTGTGTGACAACTGTGTTTTGTAGGAAATTCGGTATTCAGATGCTTGCATTTCTGTTCTCTGTGATGAAAGACTAATCGGGACACAGAAGAACATGCAACCAAATGTGTTGAACCGAGTGCGTACAGCTAAGTTATCGTTCCATTCATCTCCTATTTTTTACCGGAGAAACGGCTATCAGTGATTTTGTGTCACGGTTGGTCCAAGAGATGACGAGGTTTGGACGAATTAAAATCATTTCAATTTGTTTGTCGAACACAGTGCTTAAGACATAAAAACGCTTAGTAGATCCGTGCAAGTTCCGTTCATCAACAGACACTCGGGGCAAAAGCAAATTGATGTATATGCTGCAAAAGAAAGAACACGTCAAACAAGAGACAATTTAACAGGTACGATAAACGTTTGAATGGGCATGTGCAAAAATATTTTACAGTGTTTTTTTCAACTTGATGTATTATCTCGATCAGAACTAGGGAGATGAAAAAAATCATTCTTGAATGCTTTCTATTCAAAACTTTCACTCATTAATAACTGTTGTGGGCATCAGAAAATATCCAGTGAGTAGGCTTCCTCATATGATTATTATTCATCACGGATGGTTACAGTCAATTGCTTTGAAGATATCGCCAAATGACAAAAATGGAGTGGGCACCTTATTCAATCCTTCTCGAAGGCATATTTCAAGGAAATCACGAAAACATATAGTTGAGGGTCTTATTGTATTCATCGTGGCTAGAAAATATCGAGGAACTTGCTTCTAATTAATGCAATTTTGAAATGCACTCTTTTATTAATGGTGCATCTGTGGATTATAACGATGTTTTTCTAGGGTTTATCACCAAGGGGTGCCGATAACTCTTGGTGGGGTAATTGCTACATGCATAAACGTTTTAGGAAGAGTCATAAATTAACATGTAGAAATTGGCATGTTTTATGCTGTCCATTTGCGGAAATAGCATGCAGTATTTGATGAATGAATTACTCTACTTGTGTTCATTTTAACGTCTACAACTTCCAATGGTTTTTCCTCAGGCATTCAAACTTCTGGTGAAAGCAAGGGCTTCGTGGTGAAGCACATCAAACCGGATGCGCATCGTCTGAGTGGTGTGATCGAAAGCCCCAATTACCCTCGACCGTACCCGGAGAATTTGCAAATGCACTACGTATTTCACGTTCCACCGGAAATGCGTGTTAGAATCAAATTTTTTGATTTCTGCCTGGATAATCATGACGCCAACAGGTGGGCTGGTTATCAAATATCTTCGATTTTTTATTTACTATTTAACAAAGGATTGAATTATGCTGATCTCATGCATGCTTATTTATGAATGACACCGACCGATGATAAAGCCACATAACCATTTGCTCACATTAGTGACATAACTTGGCCACCATGTGGTATTTAAATGACTATTTTGTCTGTCTGGCGTACATTGAAAAGAGACTCGTGATATCTGCTTGTGTGTTTCAAACGGTTCCACCAAACCCCATTAGTTGGATCTGAGATCAGACACATTTCGGACTTGGCCGAGTAGGTCATATAATTAGCTCTGTTAAACTAGACTAGAAAACATACAAGATAGTTGAACAGTTTTCTGGACATGGAATGCAAACAGCTTTCTAGTGAGAGGTAAAAGCCAGGAACAATAATTATCGCGTTTGGTGTCTAGGATACATGTTAGCTTAGAAATCTGCATTAATCGCAGAGTGAAACAAAATGTTCCTATTCTAGTTAAAAACGTTGCGAAATAAACGAGTTTTATTTTAGACTGACATCAGCCCTTTTGTGGCTTTCAGTTGGTAGTGATTCACTGTCTTTTTAAAAGTGATTGATGAGATTCTTGAGTAAACCAAAAAATGGTGGACAGACGATCACAAGAATCAGGACTCATCTGTAGTAAAATATTTCGTGATAACAAAATAAACAATTGATGCTCATTTTAATTTCAAACCGTGCTATGCGACTACAAAGCCAAACGTTTTTGCTAGTAGTGAAACTTACGAAATTACACCACTAGATTTTCTTCTCCCCAAAGTTACCTATACATGCAAATGAATTACAAAAGAGCTGACCGTCCTCTTTTATGTTTGGTAATGTTTGTTTGCTGTTACAGCTTGGTTCACTAAGATTGAACAACGTAGGCTTTTATACACATGTTCCATTGTTCTAATTCAGCGGTTACTGAAATGAAACAAGGTTGATACGTGGTTGAAATCCGTATTTGTTGTACACCTTGCGAATGCGGAGATGAAATTCAACAATGTGACTAATATTATGAATTTGACTTGCATTCCACATCTTTACCCTAAATGTACAAGACCTGCATAGCACTCGGGCTAGTGGGATTGGATTCTCAACGATTGTACACAGTTTTGTTCTCGATGCATGCCTCAGACCTAAGCAATGCTAAAATCACCCCATCCATTAACTTCAAAATAACTTTCACAAAATAATTCTCAGGTTGAATAAGACGAAAGTGGTTAAAATGAACGTTCATTGTTCTGTCTCCATTAAGAAGCCTTTGTTGATCCAGGTGATGGGTTGTAGGTGGTTGTGTTCTATCAATGCAGTCAATACCCATACCGACGCAACAATGCGTGATTTATCATCAACTTAATTTATTAGCCCCCAAAATCAAAACCTTTTCAACACTGAATCAGAATTGCCCAGTTGTGAAAACGTTAGTCTGTTATATCATTAGAAGAACGATGCCTAAGCAATACTCGATCATGCGAGATCCCTTAGTAATCCAATCACTAAATCACCAACCTGACAGCATTTGCATTGGTTAACAGTTGATCAAAGAACTGTTTATTTCCCTCTTGCCTGATTGAAGTAATTTGGACAAATTTATTACACTTACCCCAGGCCAATGCTGCTCATTCTAATATAATGAGAATACCGCGGAATTTCGCAGAAATAAACTCGATGTTGGGTTTACTTAGAAGTTCACATTTATTTGTTTTCACGCTTTACTTGCAGGCCTGCAAATGTGTTGCTGTTAGGATGTTCGTCTAATCGCAAAATAGCAAAAGACACTTCATAACCGTGCGTTGTTGCCGCCGTGGATTTATTGCTAATCAACGACGGATTGCTGTTTCCGTTAATTGTTCACATACATATAACGGATTTTGAACACTAGAAGAAATCGGTAATTGCATAAAGTATTGTTAGTAGTGAGGATATAAATAAATGGTAGGCGGGTTGTTCTCATAAGCACAACCACAGAATTGGTGCTTGAGACGGATGGTGAAATTTCAATAACGTTTACGCAAATCTTTAAGTTTGGTGGTGGTGTGTGTTCGGCTTTGAGCTGTGCATTGATCACTGATACCTATTGGATTTTCTAATTACGTCATCTCAGGAAGTACTAAAGCGTAAAGCTTAAAATGAATGTCTCTACTTCAACGGAAATGCATCAACAGTGAACCATTGAGAGTCACTGGCAGCAATACTAACAGGATCTACACAACACTAACAAGTTTCTTAACGTTTGTTAAACAACTTCAAAGTGCCAACTTTCGGTGGCGAGGTTGGAAACAGTCTTACAGTGATTAAGTGGGCTCTCAACCCAGGTTTTCACGCTGACGTTTGGGAGTCACTTGAATCATTCGGAATGTTTGATGGGCAGCCAAACGCTGAACGTAGCCAGCGCAGTTTACTGCTCATTCGCTCAACAGACTGCTACAGCAGCGACTTTCTAATAAAGATGAAGCAGATGCGAAGGGCATTTGGATTGGGAGCACAGCAAACCTACACTGTACACTGAGAAGTGCGAATTTCCTATGCTTTAGCAAGAGTATTGAGAAAGCTGCATCTGTTAACTGTATTCATGACCATTCAATGTGAATTTAAAACCATTTAATCAATCAGTATTTTTCAACATAACGATTCCTTAATTAGTACACAGTTCGGTGAACTTCAATTAGTTTCGTCATATTTGAGGCATTGCGTTGTAGAGCAGACGAATCATTTTACTTTTCTTCATTGACTCATTATTTCTCACATTGAAAGCCAATATGATTAACATCCATGTTCCGTTTAATATGGAAACCAGCGTGTGACTGAGGTAAGACAGATTAAAAATACTTCAAACAAAACGAATGAAATTCGGCTTATAGAACGTTTCTGACCAACAACATTTATTTCAAAATCAGTTCTGCTGTTTATGAATCTTGCAATAAAGAACTTTTCTCGACCGATTCAATTTACTCTTTCATCCTTTTTGAAACTGTCTAACACGAGAGGCTGACTGTTCTTGCTTTCCCCCGGGAAGGGGTGGAACAAAACACATCGCATAAATATATGTTCCCTCTGGAAATACATATGTAAATAGCAATAGGGAGACACAAATGATTACCATCGATTTGGAAGCAATCATATATGATAAATTTTTTTTCTCATATCGTAGGTCAGTCTTCATGCTCAACTTGGAAAATAAATTACCGAGATAATTTTCGATAGATTATTTTAGAATTGCATTATCAATCTAACCACAAATATGTGTCTTTAGTTATGAAATACAAAACAAATGAACCATTACTGTTTCGAACGTGGATCCATAAAGCACATTTATCGTGTTATCTCTCACTAAATGTGAATTAAATCGGTTCCTCACTTATTGGGCATTATCGGTTTTGAGTATCTACTGATTACTGCTATTCAAACTGCAGCGCAACGATTGCTAATGTGAACTGCCAGGTATTTTATCTTCACGGACAGGCCTTCAAGCGTTTCTTACGAAAGAACATCATGTGATAGAGTTTTCCAATTCCTTGTCATTTGAAAATCACCAGACCGTACTTGATTTCCCAAAACGTGACCTCCCCAAAAGGTTTGACTACAGCAACCAACACTATTGACATCTGGACGACTTAGAAGAAACTAAAACTGCCAGCCAATTTCCGTCTCTTCATGAAAGGCTGTTTCCTTTGAACAATTGGCGGGTCCGTTATTACCAAACCGTATCGCAGTGGATCGATATGCACCATGGCGATTCAATGTAATTTTGACACTTTACTCTCCAAAATCTGTGTATATTTTATTGACAAGTATCAATGAATAATAATGGTGGATGAAGCCGTTTTCAGTAAGTAGATAATAAAAATGTCTCGACAAATACAAATGAAGTGAAAATTGGTTTCTGTTATCATTCCATATTACAATTACCGAAATATGATATTGTTTTGCAAAAAGCAAAAGATTTAATTTCCCTATCCTCCACGTCCAGCTCACGACTGTCCCCTTAACTTTCAGAAAACATGCTCGCATTTTTCCGACTTGATTGTAAACATTTCCAGTGATCTGTTCAGGCCTCCCTACAAATGGGTCCATTTGTGATATCCAAATACGCCATACTTTTTTGTTCCATCCACCCAAATGGTCCACAGTACCGCCTCGCAACACACCAAAGCTTGTGTTAGGGTGACTCAGAAAATCATATCTAACCACTGCCACCCTCTAAATGTATTTTAATTACCCCTGGCAGTAAGTGTGAATATCTTCACTTGCCAACTACTTTTTTGTCACAATATTGTTTTTATATTTTTCCTGATTTATGCAAAACACTAACTTACTTCCCCACCTGATCAATAAACAAGTCACAATGTTATTCACTGAACATTGTGTTGCTAAATATGCACCCTATGATAAAATAATGCAGTTGCTTTATTTGATCTAAGGTGCCTTGGTTTGGCTTGTTTGTGCACGTTATGGTGAACGTTTTCGATTAACTGTTCACTGTTGATCATGGCCACGTTTCTGGATAACTTTGTTTTTGAAATGTTCTTTTCCCGTTTTCTGTTTTTGGGTCTATATTTGTATAGTCAAAGTTGAATCTCATATATGAACGGCTATATAAATTTTCCTATTGATTCTTTGCAAAACTCACCCCGAGCCCGCACAACATCAACCACACTTACTGAATTAGCAAACCATTCATTATTTTTTCCTGCATTTATAGTTGCCCGCTCTCGAATTCCGATCGTCTTGAAGTCTACGACGGAGCCTACCCAGAGACCACTCGACAACTTGTTCTGTGCGGAGCAGAGGTACCAACTATATTATTCCACAAACAGTCCTCTGCCGGTGAACTGATTTCCAGTAAAGACATTTTCACACTTCGTTTCCTAACGGACGCGATCCGGTTCGGAAATGAACGAGGTTTTGTACTGTCATACGCATTTACCCCTGGCACGCATCTCTCATCGCCAGAGCGATATGCACTGAAACCGCAACAGTCTCACAGTACGGTACACACAGGAAGTGACGAGTGGCCTGAATCGTTAATGGAGGGTACGTGAAGAAAAATACTGATTTGGTAATCTGAAGAAATAGTCCAACATACTTGCATTAAAATTCGTTTTGAAACGGAATCAATTGTTTGCTGTCGGGGATAACAAGCATATAGAAATAGAGCTTTTAGTAGTCGCACATTAGACCCCTAATATTGTCTGTCCATCATCAAATAAGTTAGTGATTATTGATAGTGGTCAAAAATGATTCATGGTTTTCCATGTTGTTCGCCTAATTTTACCCCCACCTACATTAAACAGTGTTCTCGTTCAAGGCCTTTCGACACGTTTCTTCATATATTTCTTCGTTTTTATTTATATTTATAAATACCGTTATCCAAATCACTTTTAAGCCGGTAAGAAGCTAGATACGTCTTCTGTTGCCGTAAGTATCATTCAAAATAATTTGATCTTTTAAAACATCCCTCAGAAACGTTGTCTGATTGGAACTTGTTCTTTCCTTAACGTTAACGCCACAGAACAAAGCGTTTTGTCCGACATCTCAAATCTGTGCAGTAAAAGCAATACTTGTACTTATATGAATTAGATAACTGTAGGTTGGTGATATCAGTTGCTGACAATAAAACTCGTATTAATTTAATAACCTACAAAAAGCTAGTGATGATAATAAACTAAACGAGAACAAAGTTCAGTCTGAGAATATTCCATGTTTTGGGGTGTTCACTATGCTATATATTAAATATTTACTTAAGAATAAACTGGATCGGAAAAGGACTAAACATGCTGATAAGCAAACATGTTTGTCACCTTCGTCATCAAAAAATATTGCGTAAAAATTATTGGTGCTGCTTGTAAACCGATCGCAGTTCTGAACATATTTGGCCCGGACTGCCAGTTGTATCACCGTTTGTTTTCATCCCCGCACCCGCTTCGCTGCGCGGATCACAGTAACTGTGCTACCCCCACTGTAAATTTTTTTTATCACACATTTCCAATCACTCCGATGCTGTTGATCCGCAAAAGATTAATTTACACCTCGAATCACGGGAATCGGATCGACTACGCGGTCCTTTCCTGTACGCAACTGGGACAATCTTCTTTCCCAATGCGTAAGAGTTGTACCTGTTATGCTTATCAGTTATGCAGCACACACACATTACAATCATTATCTGATAGTTCTTCGGTAATGTATTTTGGATGGTACAGACCACTGATTCCATATGTTTGTATGATTCGTATTTTACGAACAGTTTCGTTGTGACAAATGGTCTGTCGTGGAAATATATATCGAAAAAAGAAAGCCCATTTTGATTAATTCTTATTAAGCTATAATAAATGTCCTTAAAACAGGTGACTGTCAGTACCTGATCAGGAGTCACGGGAAAGATGATACGGGACATATATGGATCGCTCGTTACGTGCACACGTTACCTGGAAATATAAGCCAGTTGCAGGGTGGCAAGGTGCCCAATTGTCGGTGGCGTTTGCGAGGAAAACCGGGACAACGGATCCAGTTGAAGTTAATTAAGCAAACCGGAACACCGAGATCTTACGAATCGACGGCCAGAATCAGTCCAATACAACATGACGAACAATCAGGGCTTGATCGAATTCGGTCGTCTTTGGAACAATCCGGGCGAACGAGGTCATATTTGACGAACTTGAAGTAAGACAGTTTGACTTGAAACAATTAGCTGATTGGTCAAGAGAGGGATGATTTGGAAAGTTTTTTTCTGCTTTCTTTTCTCATGTAGATCGGAATCATATTTATCAATGTTTCACAATAATTTGAAACCATGTTTTCAGTTACCAACATATAGAACATTGATTAAAATCCCTATATTCATATTGTCTGCGAATTGTTCGTAACCTCAGATAAAACTGTTTTGACAAAAAGTATCTCTCTTATAATGAAAACGTTTAGACAAGAGACATGAGACAAAAGAATGAAGCACCTTGTTTTGCACATCGACGGGGGACCGATGAGAGGTAACCAAATTATGGTTTAAAGTAGGACTTATTTTCTTTCCGTGCGGTTTGAATACAATCGAATACTATGTAGTGTAGTGTGACTTCGAGTAAAATCCACTAAACAAATTTTAACCGTAGTGTGTCGCTGAAATTTTCCGCTGTTGAATCGTTTTAGCGACAGACTTACGACATGAGAAACCCTGACCACGTTTGACTAAGTGCAATGTAATGCATACAAATGTATCTTGATAATATTTAATATATGTCTCTGCCAAGAAATCACATGTTCCAGGGTTAAATGATTACATATGCACAGAGTTAACTCGCTGGACAGAGGTACAGACAGTTGCATTTTACACGTCCATACTAACGTTCTCCAATGAGAATTCCTTGGTGATGTGAATCAAGGAGGCCAGAAACCGAATTCGAGTTATTGTGTTCACTTCCGATTTCTCGCGGACTAAGGCTATTAGTTCAGGGCAAAATACGACTACTAAAGTCAAATACCTGATTTATGAGTTAAAACTGCGGAGTTTGTGCAGAGTTCCAATACATTTTGTTCTCGCCATACTAAATCTGGCTTTTATTCTTCCCCCGCCCTTATTGAGTAACTAATGTTTGTTTCTGAGAATTTGGTGCATTTCTGACTTGTAAAGCAAAACTAGAGCAATAGAATACATCATGCGAAAACATTAACAAGCTCATAAAAATGCGAAACGTTAAATTACAGATTTTAATTGTTTGAGATAATTTTAATATGTGTCCTCTTCAGATACAAGACTAAAGGCTGTCACAAACCTGGATTTGAATTATTCCGATTGAAAGCGTTTGTCTTTGAACCCCTTTTAAGTATAGTTCGTTGTTTTGCCACAACAAGAGCTAAGAAAATGCTTTCCAGAGATTTATTACACGTACTGATTTATCACCGATTCTGAGGAACCATTACGACCTCAGACTGAACAGAAATGCATGCAGTTTTTGGCAAATGCGATTCACCAAAACTGCTGTTATTTTTGCTATGAATGGTGCCAACCATGATCTCTTGGATTGCCACAGAGAATGTCAAACACGCATTTTGTGTTCGACCCGCGCGGTAAAATATTTACGAGTTATCACCCCGGCCCTGACATCCGTGCACGGGCTGGTTCAAATCTGATCCGGGCGGACAGTTGTCGCTACAACTCTAAAGGATACATTTCGTTCATCCGTTCAGTCATATGAGCCACTGAATGAAAAGTAGCCCAGTACTAGTCCCAGTAAATCTCCCCATTTGGTGCTACTGATCTAATAACTATGCGACCCTTTGGCTGTCAAACGTGCCGTGGAGACATGAATTACGGGTGGTCCTTACACACAGAAAGACAAACCTTGCACACAGAGGGAAAAAAAGACCCAGTGGCGTATATCTAAATAGTGCCAGCGAATGCTTCGCGCGGGTCAAAAAATGAAACTATCAATGACGAAAGCAGACCACTTCAAATGAAAGAATTATTATAGACAATATGATCTAATAATACCCGATTTAAAAATGAAAACCCTATTGATTAGAAATTGCACTGGTTTTGTTTGATAAAAGTTGAACCTAAAACGCATTGCCCACCCAAACAATGTTCGATTGCTGAATCTGAAAAGGAAAAAAATAAATAAGATTTTTTCAGGAAAAGTGTGCTTTATTCTACCCATTATGGTTGGATCAGCTACGTGATAGTTAAATGAACAGCATTAGTAATGTTTTCTTCTTTGGGGTCAAACTTATGTTTCTCTGGTCAGACAAAAGACTTACACCTATACTACTTCGCAACCATAATGTACGGACATCAGTTTTAATTCAGTTGTAGTCCCGAATTCTTTGCTAGTAGCCGTACAGGTCGCGTTATTGATTTGTACTGCACATAAGCTTAACTTCATCTACTAAGACACAATGGATTTCTTCCAAATGAAGATAGACCCAGAAAACACTAAACCTAAGCGGTGTTCTTGTCACCAGATCGGAAATGCTATCTTCTCCTGGATTTGAACTACGGACAGCACACATCGGTGTGAATCAGCCATTTAATTTGGTCCACGCTGTATCATCAGAAAAGATCCATTAATAAGTTCATATTTCAAGAAACATTTAACCAACATTTCCAGTCAAAGATCATTGTCAAGGAATCCAATTCACAATCCGGTTCCACATATTTTTTGATCTGCATGTGAAACCTTAAGGTTTGAAAGCTCGTACGGATCACGGATATTTATTATAATTCTTATTATTATGCTTCATCAAATTATTCATAATCCTAACCAACGATAATGAAAAATTAATTACTTTTTGGAAAGGTACTTGATACAGTGAAGTGTTTATAAAACTTGGATTTTAATTCGGTACTGTTCTGTGCTCATGATTTATCAACATAATTATAGTCGGTAAAAAATGAAGTTTAAGATGGATCGAAATTCAGTAATAATAACTTCCCTATTCGTCATCCTCCAATAGGTTGGGGGATTTATCGACGGTTCTATCTGCTTTTACAGACTGTATTCGGACTTAGTTTTCAATGCGAAACTATTTAATCGACCGAAGGAATTTAATCGGGATGCGTTTCAACTGAAATCCACGGGTATAGAATCAAAATACTGGAAAACGGGGACTATGGTTAGAGTGAACTCAATAAAAATGTGGTTCATTTAACGTCCAATGTCCTCTGTGGTCCCTTGAAATATTCTACCCACTTGTGGGTCTAAGTTTTATCGTCATCCGTTGATTTTTGTTGGGTTTACATACATGGATATGTTTAACTCAACTGTATTAACCCTGAGACCAAAACAGATCTCGTAAGCAGTTGTTTATGCTTTACTTTAAAAGACCGTTTATTCTGAGTTTCTCGTGCAAGGAAATTTCATGACCACTTACCATATAAGCTGTAAATCGATGTTATGTACTCCCAGCGTTTCCGACTAGGCACATATACGAAAAGTGTAAATAAACTAAAAACAGCAAGAACCGAAAAGCACGGCATACGATACCGAGTAAAACACTCAAACCAAAATGATAAATGTCCGAATGACTGAACCACCGACAACAGATGGTATGAGACTGTTTCGTTCAGTGGTGGCACTTTCATGGAGTGGCTTAAAATTGGAACGCGTACGTAAGTAGCAGAAGTGTTTCCTTTGGGTCGAAAAGAACGTTGCAGGGTGTATCACGTCATAACGTTTGGATTTACACTATGAATGATGGCAAGCTTTTAATTGTGAAAACTCAGGAAGCCTCTTCAGTGTACCAATGAAGATCACGCAACACGGTAACTCGGCGTTTCTCTGAGAACAATACCATCGTTAGTAGCACACTTCCAGAGGCTAACAAAACAGAATATGATACCCTGTGCCGAGCTAGTATTTAAAAAGGAATTTCCAAATTTTTCAAGATAGGGCATGGGACCAAGTTACACAGTTAAATAAAAACTTGCTTACTTGACGGAAACAGACTAGGTTAGTAGAGACATTTCCTATCACCATGTCATTATCATACTCCCCCCCCCGATAAAATTAAGCGCAGTTGGAAGGTTAATTGTGCACGAAGGAATAATTGACATTGCGATTGCACTCAGAGTAATTGCGGATCTGACTCACGGAAAAGAGAACCTTTTCAGTTATAAGAATTGATTTGTATCCTGGCCAGGACTTAATTGCAGAGCATGTCTAAAACTCTAATCTCGAGGCAGAAGTAAAAACGTATTATTATTATCAATGCATGACCAAGTATCAAAAATCTTCAGCATAATGTGTGACGTCCAAAAAACCGGTGTCAAACCTTTAGGTAGAGAAGTGGATAATACGTGTACATTGTTGGCAAAACAATTACCAGTTGAAAATGTAGGATTTTTAGCAATTTAAAACGTTCTCTGTGCCTCTCTTAAAGTGTTCACTTCAATTAATCTCTCAAAATCATTGAATAATGTTGATGTGCAAAACTTCGTTGGTTGATTTAACAGACATTACTGACGACGGGTTTTAAAAGGATGGTTTCCAGCTTTTGTCCGGTGGGCACAAACAGAACCGCTCAGAAACAAGCAATGAAATGCCTGCAGCACACACTTTCCATGAGGATAAAATAAACTGAATAATTGCCGGGTGATTCAAACCGGTGAGAAAAGGTAGTTTCAGGCGGTGATAAAGAAACTGGTGCTGATATGGGCNAATCAGCCGCCAATTGACAATTCATACATTTAATTCGAAAAAAGACGCTTTCTGATCGACTTCCTGTTTTCCAGCTAAAGTGAAGAACCTTCCAAAATATGTTATTCATAGAGTATATGAGATATGGTCCGAGCAATTTATGACTCTAACGCTGAACAATCAACAAGAATACAGTTTTCAACTAGTCAATTAACTTAGCTGCCTAAACAAATCGAGTAGGGGTAACTTATACCAAACCGACGTTCTTCGCCTAAACTAAAAATGAATCCTTTCCACAGAGTTAGATGTTCACAAACTTAAACGAACGGTAATTCTCCTGGATACTAAATTTTGTTTTGTGAAATGAAAATCTATCTAGCTCGGAACATCAAACACGTCAGCTGAGCACATACTCGATGGTGATCCATAGCTCTAGCAACTGTTTGGTTTTTTCCGCTATACTTCTACTTGAGTAAACACTGGATGTAATCGACAATTGAGACACAAATCCGTTACAGCCAGCACAATTTTGTGAGATTTTTCTGACAGATTGTTCACAATGACATAACAAAATAAAAACCCCAAAACAGGGGGATAACCGATCGCATCGCAACAGTTTCCCGAATTTACCTCCCGTGGTGCAGACAACAGTCGCTTCCTTCTTGGTTGCCCCCCAACGGAGCAAAATATGTTACATACATTTAACACGTCCCCGGGATGTCACTGATTGGAACAGACCGTGAAAAACTCAGCTGTCACATGTCAATCACGACCAACACTACACGATAAGCTAGCTAGGGCTCTCCGAATAGCTAGCTGTGCACAGAAGCTGTGCACAGAGCGAATCGAGAAACGAATGAACTCAAGCTGATGTGTGCACACAGTGGCCAGGATTCGTGCACGTACATATCCATCCATCCATTCGGAATACGGGCGCAATTAGGCGTCTAAAATTGGTATTTAAAAAACGATAATCCAGTCTGTTGTAACGGATAACTTAGTTGTCTGGCAGGGAAATTAAATACCGTGTAAAATGATTCAAAGACGTTATAAGCTTGTGTGGTAGACGAACTTTATGAAACCACATTGATTAGTCTGGGGACTGATACACTTAACTTACATTAAGCATTGAAGCTGACGATTCATCCACTGGGTGGCAAAGTGCCAATACTACCAACTAGATATGAGTTAAGTATTGCAAACAAACTAAAAAGGTAAGCTTTAAACTCTGCCATAACCAAATAAATCAGGTGTCACTGAAAAATGGTGAAATGTTAAGTTAGTTTTTGCTCGTTCACATGCATCACTAAGTTTAGTGATCATTCACGCTCAACGTGCCTGATAAACCAGACAGGGTGGTTGCAAACAATGGTAGGCACACTATGAAAAAAGGATCAGAAAGTTCCCCGTTACCACAGACAGTTTCAGTTTTAGGCGACGTTCCAACATTAGCAAAAAAGTTTTACAAACGGATAAATTAAAACAGATAAATTGTGATCATGCTCCCCGACAGTCACGGATTACGGCAAGCGTAAAAGACTAGCCACAACAGATCAGTAACGGTCAATTTATCCGTCATCAGAACAACCATAAAACTATGGGTGGCTGTATCCTCCAGTAGGAAGGCTTGTTCTTATTTAACATTTCTATTCTCCAGCAAAAATAGGAAGAAAGAGAGCTCCGTCACTTAAAAGCATTGTGAGAAGTGCGCATCTGGAGCTCCGCTTTTTATGAGTATCAAATAAATTACTCGCAGCTAGCGAGTCCTGATAAGTAAGAAGAAGGAACAGCAAGGCATTCAATGCACTTTATTGGTAATCACAAAACAAAAGTTCTACCGCGACTCCGTTACGTGCGATCATCTAAGAGGGGGGGAGGACACACAAAAACACAAGCATGAATTCCTTAAAATGGGTCTGTTGTGTAAATGAACGGATTTATTCAAGTATACTATTCTAAAACACCTTGTGTGCTTTATTCCTCTGTAATTTTATCAAATATGTTACAGCTTTCTGGAAATCAAGGAGCTTGGAGCACTAGCCGAGTGAGATTCATTGGAACTGAACGCCTAGAAATCATTTTATTTGGTGCGTAAATTTTTAACACATTTTCCCCAAAACGATTTTTCGGCATGGCGAATCAACACTTTCTTGATCTTAGCATGCTTTTGCTTAGCATATTCATAAATAAAGCTGTTATCGCTATAGGTTTATTGGTAACTGATTTTTGCAGTGCACGTATAAAGCAACGAATTAAAGCAGCCTGTCTCATCAGTCAGTGATTCGAGTCAAACGATCAGCTGCTTGGTTGAAAATCGAATATATTTCTCGATCCCTGGACACAACTGACATGCTTATATGCAATCCAGCTAATTTCGAGCAAAGTCAGGGCGGCACGTGTTAATTATAACCACCTCACCTGCAAACTGAAAGCAAGTCACATGGTGCTAATACACTCCGGATAGTTGAACGTCGACCTTAGATAGTAAAAAAATACAATCTGCTTGTGGTCCGAGGTTTAGAATCAACAAACCATCACATGCGGCGAATATCTGCAGTAACGAATTCTTTCGGACCAGGTATTTGAGCCACATTCATATCTGATTGTCAGTAAACAAATTAGCTATCTGAAACTGTTTTATACAAAAATGAGCCTTTTTCCTGCTATTCAGAATTATTTTACGGTAAAAGTGCTTTTGTGAGGCAGCTAAATCAACCACCGGCCAAAACAACCATAGGTTGTTCGAGCATAGCAGTTAGAGAGACTTGAACACACCACTGACTGATGTTTGCTGTCTAAATCCGGGACGGAACGGAAGATATGTATGATGAACAAATTCGACAAAAATTGTTTTGTACCAAATCGTCGAAGTTCCACAACTACTGCCATTCGGTGACTCCATGTGCTAGGTGTATTCTACCTGGCGTAGTGTACTTTTCCAAAACTAACTAATGCCTTTCCTAATGCATTTTGGTGGTGTTAGCAACAAACAATAGCGCGTACTCTTGTGGATTACGTCAGTGAAACCGCCATTCAAATGATTATTAGTCTGAACCGCTACGCAACTGATCCAGTTAGTTCATTTGGATTGCGGTGAACGTGCTTGATGTTGCCGAATAAAATCCCAGTCCACTTTGATCCACTTCTCGATGCAAGAGATAGCGCTTGCCGTTTGAAATGAACCAGATTTGTCAAATCACTCGAAATATGAGTATTACTGCTTTGTGTTTGTATTATTTTTATGTTTGCGGATAAATGTGAAGTTCGACACAACAATTATTTCTTCAACTAATTTCCCTGACACCTGAACCTCACAGATTGTCACAAACTGGAGGACTGTATAAGCAAAACATCTACAGGATTTTACTCAGTGAACCTCAAGCGAGGCAAACATACGATTCTGATGGGAATCCGAGCACCGCACTTGCGGTTTTCCTGCGAGACACGGTGAAGCTGTTTAATCGATTTATTTTACACAAACCTGGCCTTCGTTCTACGTTACCGCTGAATCTCACTGGTGTTGTATAAAAATCACTTGATAAACACTTTTCGTCTGTCACAAATTTGTGTCTGAGAGTAGTAAGATGCACCACACACACCAATCATGTGACTTAATTTAAACAATGAAATAAATTCCACTCTGGAACTTTCGCATAACATTTATTATCTTTTTCTTTTCTGGGGATTTCTGGGGGAAATATGTTGCTTTACTTTTGTTTTTCCTTTGAAACAGTAAACCATTATTTAAATGCCCATAGAATGCTTACTTCGAAACTAGTCATCGATTCTTGTGCATCTGATATTTTGTGACTGCAGTCGATGCGGCATCTGGCAGAAGAAAATGCGAACGTTTTGCACAGAAACACTTTTGTTGATTCGCCTTAATGCCTCTTGACACATTTCAGAATCAACTCTTTTGATGTTGCTTTTCCGAGTGAACCATTTGTCTTTCCTCCTGGGTTAGAGCTAATCAAATGCTTACTACCCCAAACGCACAGGTGTCACACTCCGATTTCGGTCGAGTTAGTAAACTATCGACCGATTACCGCACAAGGTGAACAAGAGTTCAAAGAGATGGATCATCTGTTGGATGAAAAACATTTCGGGTTGCGTACAGCTTCGCTGATTCTACCAGATGATGCCCAGTTGAGCTCCACAGCGCAGGAAGAACAGGCTAATACCAATGCGCCTAATTTCATACATTCCAATGTGATACCACGTGTCGAACCATCGGATCCTGTCCGACTGTGTGCAGATGAGTCGGTCAGCCAGTCTCCGGCCGCTAAAGGTTTCATGTCCGGCAATGTACCCCAGTTAGACGTCATTTTGCGCCTAGATACTCCTGTTTTCAACGAGCAATCCAAAGGTCCTGTTATGAAGCAATTAGCTGACTATTTGATTCTGGGCTATGATATTCAGTATAAATTTGTCACCGGTGAGTGATCCCAGCGACTTTCATCTTTCGATGTGTTCGGTTCTGTCACGGTGTACATATTCCATTACGTTCGATGTGTTATTCAATCCTGCCAAATGTGATTTGGACATTTTTGTACTAAATCATTCGCGTATGTGCTATTGTTTACGGCTATTCAGTCATACTCGTCCGGGCCAGTACAAAGGTTCAGACTAACTTAGGTTTGTATACACCTACCCTGTACAGATCATTGTATGACTTTGGTCGCTAATGTCCTGTTAGGGCATCTGGTTTTGTTTAGTGCTGACTGCTTCTTGTGGGCCCACATAGACCTGTTAATGTAATGTGTGTGTGCGCGTGCGCGCTCGTGCACATGTCTCGATGTTTCTGTTTTGGATTTGTTCCTCGTTTCTGGACAATCAGCTATGGATTAAATACATGCTTATGTCCCTGACCATGTGTGTGGTGTCGGTAAACGGTGAACTAATCCCGGGGGAGGGGTGGAGTTGGTGTTGTTCTCCTTTTTAATTTGTTGTTTTTCCTCTCGTTCTGGAGAATTCGAACCAGGTGTTTGATGTATGTTGTCGAATTTCCCTGTTCTGGCTAAGAGGGACGGGGAATGGTTTCAGCACATAGCACCACTTCAAAGAATTATATAGGAACATGGAAGAAGTTCAGGGTTTCATTGATCAAACCACGCATTCTACTAATATTCAAAGGAGATCGGGAAATCGATAAGCACATGATTTCCCATGACATCCGGTCAGTGACCTTGAAATTATAGTATAAATCAAGGGTTAACTCATATTCTTTATTAGCTTGAATTAGTGGGCCTCGTATACCAAGAGATATTCAATTGAATCGACAAAAAGTCGTCGTATAAAGAGTCAAGAACATTCAAACGAAAAAGTTGGACATGGCACTTCAGGTCTTCCAACTAATTTTCATTTCCAAGTTTAGTTGTTTATTGCCACATACTGCGCATCTTGATGCTTCCTCCTTTTCATTTTCCCCTTACTTCCAGGTTGACCATTAGGGATTCTAAGATATCTTTAGGGTAAAATTCTGTGATACGAATTCGGTGATACGAATTTATGAAGGAAAGTGGGCACAGTGGAAAATAGTGAATTTACTTCACTTGAACTTGTTTGTTACTGTACAGACTCGCCGTCGTACTCAGCAGGAAACTTTGAACATGTCTTCAGGATAGCTTTGGTTATTGTTGGGGCAGCTCATATTTTTCCTAAAATGTATTTGCCATGAGGGGTCATTGTATGAATCATCACCTAAATACCGAAGAATTTGTTTCTTCCCTGTTAAGCAACGCATGTTCATCTGCCCCATTGCGATTCAATCCTTGGATTTGTTCATTCAACTTATCAATTTAGCTGCCCGGGGCTGCGTCACGGCTGCTTTCGTGTATATACAGCTCAACTGTGATTGCAAATGACAGTGCGTTCGGGTATCACAAGAAGCAAATCAACGAACAATTGCATGAATTTTCAGACCTTGGATCGAGCAGAGAATGTACGCTTACTGATTATGACCTCGTTTGTGAAAGAATAAAAACAATTAATGCAGCCAACAGATACAGCGACGAGTAGTTGATCGGGTTTTGTATTTAGAAGGAAGCAGTTTATCGGAATCTCAAAAACCCGTATCTACGAAAGTGAAGTTTTATGTTTGCCCAAATTGGTAGTCGCCATACAAACTTGTGGTAACTATAGTTCCCTGACAGATGCAAAGTAATCCGAATTATTTCAATTTCCCCTCCACGTTTTAATTTCAAAGGGTACAAACAAAGAAATATGCCGATACATTTTTACTTAAATAAATCCCAACATATTTTTTCTCCCCAACATGTCTTCTTTCTCTCACCGGAACGCATGCGTAAAAGGAAATTTGATTTTCATTTTATGTTACAAAAATAGGCTGCGGGATGATTATGGGAAATAGAGTGTTGAGTAGAAAACGCACACTGATTCCGACCTAAATTTAAAAGAACAAATATTTCAGTTAGTTGAGCTCTGTCAAGCATATATCGTACACGGACGGATATGTGCAAGACAAAGATTGCGATATTTGCACAATAACGGGATGCAAACAGAAGATATAGCAACTTTTAATTGCATGTTTTTGTAGAAAATCTTCGTTCATTCAACAGATCGTGTTGTTTATTCTTCACTTGACAGTTCTAAAAGTGTCTCATATGTTGGCATCACTAATGCAGGTGGCTTGTTGCCGAATTCCTTACACACTTGTAAGGCTGACAAATCAAGATAGCAAAAAGTGTAACATTAGGTTTCTTCAGTCGATAAAACAATTACCAGATACCGCTGAGACAGTAAACTTTCGTCGTACGGTAGCTGGCCAGTGCTTTGACTGTTATAAAGTCGGATGTTTCGCTGACATAAAATGTTCCCATTGATGAGTATGAACAAAGTAGCAACGCAAAATTTTTCTTCGATACAACGCTGCAGAAATTCACGAACATAGCAAGTAGATTGATACAAGGTTTAAGCTGATGCTGAATAAGTGTCTGTGTACAAGATGTTCTGTGGATAACAAGCTTTATGTCAACCAAACATATTGCAAATAGATATTTATTCGACAACAACTTAGGCCTTGTAATGTTTTTCTTTTTCATTTTTATTTCCTATGGAATATACAACAATACAAATTTCAGGAAGGAGGACGCAGCTAATTTAAGGGCTGCCATACAACATGACGGGGAAAGTTAGGCGGCTCTGGTGGGATTCGAACACACGTCCTTCGGGGTGATCTTTCGTTGACATTGCCACCGGGACACCACCGCCTTGCTGCTTGCTAATCGAACTACGTGTGTGAATGCCTACAGCAATATATGTCACAAAGAAATTTCTTGGTGCTGCAACTCTGTTCATATATAGGGGCGTTGGAACGGCGTAAATGTACTTATTTATACTCAGATTTAAAACACGTTTAGTAAATGAAAGTGAATTTATACCTTTGTGGCCTTTCATGGACGAAAATAATTCGGCAGCGAACGGGGTTAAACTGTACTCAAACAAAATGAAATTCTTATGGTGATTTTTGGTTGCCTGTGCTCAAGATTTCTTTATCTGTTCTTTCTGTGATCTATTGAATAACGTTTTTTTACAGATTATGGAGTAATTGCACCATACGGGTACCAGAAAAAGCCAGGCAAGTTTCTTTTTCACATGATACGTTGACACATGTTTGTGTACAATTGAATTTCATCTGTGATTGTCGATTAGGCTTTTAGATGGCCGCCGATGGTCTCCCTATTTTATGATTTTCATTGGAACAGTTGAATGCGAAATAAAACCTGTAGGTTCGAAACTCCAATATATAACTGTTTCACTGGGGAGTTAATGATCTCCCAAAGAGGGAAACCCACACACAAGACTATCAAGAGGGCCTGGTACCTCTGAACAATCCTATGGGCCAATCCAACCTTGAGTGTTTGTTTTAGTTCCGATGAAAGCAAATAAGAAATAAGGAAAACGTTGATCAAACAATAATGATTTTATGCGTGCTATAATTTGTGTAAATTTGTCTACAGATTTTGGACAAAATCAAATTAAATTCTCGTTCGTATTCAAATGAGTTCTTATCACCTATCCCTACTTATTCTTGATTGCGACTGCGATTCTCTATCCCGTTATAGGTTGCTTCTTTGAATTTAATCGTTCACAGTCAGTCCGAGGAAATTTCTCATCTCCCAACTATCCTGGTCTGTATCCCATCGATCTGATCTGTGAGTATCGGTTTTCGGGGAACAATGTTCGAAAAATTGAAATAGAATTCTTGGCCTTTGACGTTGAAAGTGCTTCAAAAAGGTAAGTGTTTATTTCACTCCCAGTTGGCTCATGCTGCAATGAGCAACAACGTGCGTATTCACACCCTGGGATTGCGTGAATTGTAGCGCACGTTCACTGATTCTATTTGTAGGTATATCTTGGTCCACAAAATTGGTCGGTATAGGTCCCCTCAATTTCGCATCCCCCAACGGGGACCAGAACGGTGCTTTGCATCTACGCACACACACGTTTCTCGTTAACACCGAGATACCAGTTATTCTTCGCCGAAATTGCACTTTCTGATAAGAATCAGATGTTCACATCGGGTAAGGTGCGTTCTCGCTTCGGATCAAGATGGTTTAGCCAGGTTTACTGCTTGAATCAGAAAAAGCTAATACAGAGAAAATGTATAATTAGTTGAACGAATGAATAACCATACCATTTGAGCTTAAATCAAGCAAGCTAAAACACCGATTNGATTATTTGCAGTCGTGTTTACTCTCCCAACAACAGCATCATACTGATCAATAATAAAATGCCTTACAACAAGCTTGGTAAGGTGTACTGGTGGATTATACGCTGCTACAGAAGAGGAAGGAAATAATGCTTACATAAAGAGTAAACTAAAGGTTCACGACTGCACAATGCTGTCACGGTTGGTCAGATATGGCTCAAAGTTAATCTGTCACTTCGGAGATCACCTGAATCGATACTGAGAGTTATTACATTCAAAATAATGTAGTCACTTAGATAATTTGGAAGCGGTTCTTTGGTTATCACTCCCAGGAATAGGTAAACACAATCAATTAACCGGACTTAATATAAATATGAATTAAGAGTCAAAGAAAAACTACTGCACCTTCCTTCAATGAAATTGAAAGAATGTCCGAATTGAAGAGTCAAACCCTTGGGTTCGTTGAAATATCCCACCTGATTTATTCATCATACTTCATGCAAAGTAATACACGAGGGAACTGTTACACAGACACTTCAGGCTTCGCTGAAAGCGATAAACCGCCAAAGGGAAATAATCGGGGTGAATGATTCAGACAATCTGCCTGTACATGATGAATTGGATGAGACAACTTTATTAGCAATGGAAATAGAAGCTCTTTTGTGAGCCCCTTCAAGGTAAGCTAAACATCAATACACAGAAAGATGAAAAGGGCAGTTCGAGGTAACCTGTTGGGTAGAAACTCGTTTCAATTATTTCACAAATGGGTCTGGTGAAAGAGCAGGAGCACGATGTAAAAAAGATTTGGTTTGAAATATTCCAAACGGCTTCCTGTTGCACATCCGGAGGAACGAAAAGAGCGATGACTTAGGAGTGTTTTAAGTACTCTCATTCAACATAAAAGGTCTTTGTGGAACGACATCTAGACAGTTTGCGATGTTAACTTAACAGAGTTATAAAGCAAACATTTTTACGGGCAGTCCGGAACGTGATGGTTGCGTAAATGCATAATTTAGAAGAGTATCAATCGGTGTTTCAAAAATTCGCGTTTTCCTTTCCATTAGGGTGGGCATTATGGATTAGTAGTTCATCATCGACCGCAGAAATATGGTATTCGAAATCAAGACAAACGGATTCTAAACGCTGCAACGAAAAAGTAAACAAATTCTCATGTTTAACCATATGTTATAGGTCCCCTTTCAACAGTCCCACCAAACGTTTTCACCCTGTCCCTTTTGTTTTTTAAGGTATTCTATGGGAATTGGTTTTTGTTCAGGCTGAATATCTTGGTATATTAATGCAATCCTCGGGAATTTATCTCCCTTTAAAAGACATTTATTTAAACCTAAGATGTTCATGATTCACGTAATGTGAGTCTCAGAAGCAGTCAAATGATTTCCTTGGCTTACATAATAACGTTGTGCGTTGTAAATTATTTTTTCAGTCACGTAACCGGGATATGGACTGACAGAAGTAGCACAAAACTATTTTAAGAATTACTTTCCATTTTTATAAGCTTTACCTTCAAAACTAGGACTTCAATTTCAACTTTTGGTTCTAGTTATGAAGATAAGTTAATAGAGATAATTTGGCTTTACTCCCTAGATGAGTGTAAGTAATTTATTTTATAAAATTCTCAACTGACCAGAGTTTTGAGTCAGATAAAGCTTTGTAAATAGCTTGAACCGATCTTCGGTTGTGTACGGATCCGGTATGGTCATCGAGAAAACTGATGTCACTAACCAACATTCATCGTCACCAAATCAATTTCCATTTTTGAATGAACTCTGGTTCCGTGACTGAAGATGCTTGTTTGGGCTTATATAAGGTTCCGTGTTATTGAATGCAAAAGTGTTTAGAGAAGGAAATGTTTGGGTTATCACATTCGGTTTTCTCACAGGCAACGGGCACTGTTGATGATCCTGTGTGTGGGTTTCATTACTTAGGGATAAGCAATTCCCCATCAGTTAAATGTATTTAAATGCATTGGGTGACCTACAGTGCTTGGTGCCTGTAAAAAAAACCGAATGCACTAATCTAAACATTCCCCACCTAAATTGATTGAGCCATTCGCACCAAGTGACGTCTGTCGGTCGTGTAGCTCAAGGGTAATGGTTTGATGTCCCGATCCGAAGGTTAGCGGTTGGAGTCCTGACAGAGGCGCAATTATTACGCACTGCAGACGAGTCCCAAACATTATGAAATAGTTGTCCAGTGCTCTTTGTAGGTCGTCAAAAACACTTCCATCGCATGTAAATGAACAATTCTTCTCCATAATTGGGCCACTAACCCAATATCTGGAGTCCTTTGATTTCAATAAGTTAGCACGTAACATTCTTCACCCTCCCTACCATGACGGAATATCAAGACAACATCACATGCACCAGCTTACTGGTGTACAACATTATCTGTTTGGACAGACAATAGTTTTATGTATGAAACCAATTTCCAGTGGAATATTTTAATTTATCAGCAAAAACGTTGCTGTAGTGCAGCGAGGAGCATCGCAAATGAATATTACCTAGGTACCTTTTGGCCAAATTTTCTGAGTATTGTTACATCTCGGTTGAGTCTAAGAGGCAACTTGAATGAACTCGGCGCCGGTAGAGATGCGGACACAGCACCACTGATGCGTTCTATTTGCATTCGTGCCGGAAGATACTCTCCAGACTGTTTCAGCAGCCATAAACACAACTTTGTTACCAAAGTTATTAACATGTTCAAACGTACAGTTTCGCAAAATATACATTTCTATTTGATTCCATTACTGAATAAAATTGTTTCTGCACACGCGTGCACGAAAGGGTACGGAATCTAATGTTGTTTAAATTTCAACATTGCAGTTGTTGCATTTTCCGTTGAACTGTGAAACCATTCGAAATAATGGATCTTTGAAATTGGTAGATTATTTCTAAAATTTGTTCAACTGGTCTTTTCTTTACCCGAAAAACTAGATGTGTTATTCAATGTGCTCACTTCATTCATGAGCAATCCGCAATTCAGATATGGCTGGCAGTGCATTTCACTGAACAATGAAACAAACTGATCCATCGGGTTCATCGATTTGATCGGTAAAAAAACCAATATGGATGTCTAGAAAATGAAAGATAAGGAACTGAGATCATGGAATCCACGTGGGGAGTATATCAAGTCATAAGCGATAAAAACCAGATGTTATTTCACATGATGATTGTGCGCTTACACAAAACAGTAGTAAATATGTCAGCCATCCTGATCGAGGCAAGCTTCGAAATGGATTGTTCTGTTTATCATCAACCCATGCATTGTCAGACAAGAGCGTGAGAACAGCACTCCGCCAGAAAAATTCATCTCACACTATTTCTCACCGAAAAGACCTGCATCCTCATTTGAATATGGAAGAAGGCAACTTTTCCTTATCTGTATCAGATCGGTTTTAAACAAATTTGAGAAGACAGCTATCACTAGGCGGAAAACCGGAAAATGATACAGTTGACGCAGTCCAATGTTCAGGTTTTCCAAGTCGATGAAGTGATAGACAGTGACCAGGATATGTCATTGACTCTTGGGGTAGGTTGCATTCGTTTTGGTTGGAAGGGTACAAAAGTCGTCCGATATTTGCGGGCCAGGCGCTCTTAGTTCCGATAACATTCATACATGGGGATAAAACGGCATATCTTCGAATGAATTTATTAATAATGGTCCATAGATCGAAGAAATACAGGCACATGAATCAAAAATGAAGGCACATTGTAAGGAAGGGAGCTACTATGGGAGGAGTTATTTGGTCTGATGCCAAAAGTCAGCTGATTTTCATTAATGAATTTTTGTCTAGGATATTTCTGGAGCCCTGGAAAGAGGATGTTGTTAAACATTATCACTGAATGTCCAGTTTCAAAGACAGCTTAAAATGGTATATATCTCGTTCACGGGTCTTGACAAATTGGAGGACTTATTGTGTGATCAGTGTAAATGAACTTTAGTATTTACCAGCAATAAAATCTAATTTGCAAAGGGTCTTGAAGAAAGTAACTACAACATTTACATAGCGGACTCATCAAATACTGTGGCGTAAACCATAGGTCATAATTTTATGGCAATTTTTGTTAAATGCAACAACTAGGAATCTCGAACACTCCCCAGTTAACATCGGCAGCACATGGAGAGACGAAGGACCATTACCCATACTCTGAAAATTTGAACTTCGTTTTTAGGTTACTTTTTTAATTAGAAAAGCAACAACACATTTACCCCATGGTACAGGTAACTAATGGGNTAATGGGGGTGTGTTCGCAGCATCCGTTTAATCATTTGTAATCATTATATTATTTTAATGATACATGAACAAAGTTATTTTTACACTCAGTTGCATAAAGTTAAATACAAATATTTGCATTCAAAACTCTGAGAGGTAATTTCACTCATCACTAAAACGAAGTTGAACACTTGGCAGCTGGAAAATTTCCCAACATCCTTCGTGTGGAGAAAGTTTGGTCAATTGTCGAGGACAGTGTTAAATGTCCGAAAAGCTGGTTTCGTTAAGATAATCCCCTATTCTCCAATCCCCAAGCTAGTTTGTATTTTGAAATATTCGATGAGTGAATAAGCAGCGCATTGAAAATTCATGGTCTACTTTTCCATGCACTATAAACGATACCTAGTTTCCTATGTAATTGATAAACCAGAAGTATCATCATTGACTGGAACAGATTCCACACCGTTAGTCGACATCCGACCAAGAAAAAGGACTTTCTTCAACTCTTTTACACAACCGTCTGAATGCTAGAGGATACGGTTTATTCGCCTGACAAGAAAATGACAGCCTTCACTGAAGGTTACACTTTCCAGATGTAGCTTGACATTAGAAACAGACGAAGAGAGAGAGAGAGAGCGGGAGATCGAAATTTTCTCTTAAGCCCACAAGCCTACACCCCCGAGCGCTTTGTTGACTGTGCTGTGCGTTTCGGGCGTAGTTCCGGATGAGCGCA